GCCCTCCTCATTATTCGATGAGTCGTAGCGTATCTACTGTACACCAGCTATAGACTGAGTGGTACGAGGGATTAGCAAACCTGCCTTCTATTGAATCAGTAGAACGAAAATACGGTACAACATGGCCTTCATCCACAAAAAGTCAAATCAATTTCGCCGCGCTTATTTGTCATTGTCAACAAATACTAAGGTGTCTTATACGCGGTGGGCTGTCGGTCGTTTCTGCCTTTATAAGACTGATAATGAGCGCGGGTTTGGACGTATCGACGCACGCTCTAAGTGGTTACGCAGTGCAGACTGCGTTTGTCGTAGTTATTTTTCATTTCAATTAAATGCACTACATCACATTCATCACCTCAGCGTTTATAAGGTTTCAGCTTGTAGGTGCTACAGTATACGCATTACATGAAGTAATTGCAATCCATGATCGTGCTGATAGTAGCTGTTCTCTTCCAGCTGCGTATGTACCAATTTGTAGGGCTCCCGTCGCGCGATAGTAAGTCTTGAGACGGAAATTCTGAGCGGGTCGCACCGTTACCTAAGTCTTCACAATAGTTATCTTTACTCTCGATCAAACAATAGCAAATACGTGCAACACACCGACCACTGTTAGAGAAACACAGCACCGGATATCCTGAAGAATTGCTTGGTGCCTTATTCCGAGAAGACTGTCCGGCGTTGTAGCTTTCCCGTGTCCTTGTTGAGACTCATTGTCTGATCGCAGCTGGATTAGCGTAGCGGCTGCAGATTTTGTTGTACTTACCGCCATAGGCAGCTCTACCTGAGAGCTTCGACGTGTATGCCCGCGTGGCTTGCCCCGGCGAATCGTTGTGCTGTAGTAGCGGAACAGCTTCGACTAATCGACGGCGTACGAGGACGCTTCTTTCGCACAAGAAGTCTGTCCAACAAGTGACCGGATGCTTATTGTTCACACCTTTTACTAGCAAGAACGCGGTACTTAGGTCATGACCTTGGGACAGATATCTGGACACATCATCTCTAAACCTATTTGGTACGTTGAGATATCAGGTCTGAAGTCATGACCAAGTCATAACTTTTTCCGTTTTACTTATAACTACGAAAAGGTTTGGCTCGCCAATTTTATCATGGCCGGTTAAACGAGATGGATGAAGAAGGAGATCGATCAATCGAATGCCATGCGGGAATTACTGCGCGTATTGTAAAATAATTTGGACCGGATGGTGGCGTGGTTTTCGTTATGACTGACAATTGTGTTTCCAAACATAATTGTGCTGTTAATCAGCCAGGTTTTTTTTTAGTATACGCAGAAAATAACATGTACCAACAGAGGGTGTATCTGCTTTACGTCTTGGCAGCTTGTATATGGTGAAGTCTCAAATAGTTTTGAGGCGCACACGGGCCGAGCGTGCGACTGGTAAAATTGATGAGTGTGCTGATACCGACATTGTTGTAGTCGAGTCTTGGCACGGCTTATCAAGTGAGGGCGTAACTGGAGTTCACGAATTGCAAAAATTGGCGTTGCCCGCACAAGTCACACGGGGTATTGTTAGTAGCCGCCTAGCTCGGATTTTACCTAATAAATTTTACTGGCCAGATTCCCCATTTATATCGTAAAGCTTATGCAAAATGCGTTCATAAGGGCTAAATGTATGAATAATATATATGATGTACACCAGTTGCTTTAAGTAAGCTAAGCACTTGCTTATTATTCGATGAATATAAAACAAAAGGAGGATACAAAGGCGCTGATGATGCGAAAAAGCAGAGGATTTACCGAAGTAAAGGAATCTCGTGAAAAACAATGTCACCAATGGTAGGATCACGGTCATCAGCGACTTTTATGCGCTCAAGAAAACGAGCGGTTAAATGATCGATGTATTCGTATCGCTTCAAGATTTTATCTACAAATTTGGACGGTTCTGAAGTTTGTGCTTGACCCACAGGAAAAAACGGTCACTAACGGATCGGTGCTAAGGCCCCAGCACAGAATCAGCCCTCACGTATGAGGTCATACTTCCACTTTCTTACCTGTACCATTAGTTATTAAAATAGTGGATCGAAGTATTATCTGTGCTAACAACCTGGAATTTGCGATTTGAAGAGTACCTCGCATACAATAAACCGATTTGACCAATTGGCCCAACCTTCCGGCCACCTGATACTGAAATTAATATAGATGGAACGAAAAGAATGCATTAGTAATGTGACTTAACACCCTTCCGCTCAAACACTTCGATGTTGCGCCGTGGCATCGAGTCTATCAGCTTCACTAGTGCTTGTTTTAAAGTATCCCAGGCAGCTAAGGTAGCCGCTGTAAGCTCTCCAACGTTCATGTACTGTTTCCTTTTACGGTATACCTTTCGTGCCAGCAACTCCCACAGATTATCAATAGGATTGAGATCCGGTGAGCGCGCTGGCCAGTCAAGTGTGTTGATTCCCTGTTCTTTGAAGAAAT